AAAAAAAAAAAAAAGCATAAAAAAAATTAAAAAAGAAAACAATTTTTTAAAGTCCCCACCCCCCACGTACACACTCAGATATGCGTTGTACAGACACAGTTTTTGTTTTATCCAGCTGTATTTACTCAGTGCAACTTCTAGCATCCAAGTGAAAGATGTAACACCAACAAGTCAGAAAACATTTCAAAAACAGAAATCACTGAGTTGAAAAAGAACCACCCCCTTGTGTCAGTATTTTGTGGAACCACCTTCTACTTTAAATTACAGCCTTTAGTCTGTTGGGATATGTCTCTACTAACTTTGCAATATTTGCCCACTCTTCCTTTCAGAACTGCTCAGGTTCAGTTAAAATTGATGGTGACCGTTTGTGGACTGCAGTCTTCATCTCATTCCACAGATTTTCAATGGGGTTTAAGTCTGGGCTCTGACTAGGCCATGCAAGGACATTCACCTTTTTCTCCTTCAACCATTGTGTGGTCATCTTTGCCGTGTGCTTTGGGTCATCGTCATGTTGGAAGGTAAACCTTCTTCCTATTGGCAACTTTCTGGCAAAGGGCAGCAGATTTTCCTCAAGAATTTGATGGTGTTTTGCCCCATTCATTTTTCCTTCTATCCTGACAAGTGTTCCAGTCCCTGCTGCAGAGAAACACCCCCATAATAGGATGTTACCACCTGCATGCGTTACTGTAGGAATGGTGTTATTTGGATGGTGAGCTGTATTGGATTTCCGCCAGACATATCATTTGCGGTTAAGGCCAAACAATTCAATTTTAGCCTCTTCTGACCAGAACACCTTTTTCCATGTGGCCTCAGAATCTTCAAGGTGCGTTTTGGCAAAGCTCAGTCGTGACTGCATGGGGTCATTCTTGAGGAGTGACAACCCTCCCATACAAGCCACATTTGTGGAGAATTTGTGATATTGTTGTCACATGTACACAATGACCACTCTGTCATAAATTCCTGCAACTGCTACAGAGTTGCTGGAGGCCTTTTGGTCACCTCTCTGACCAGTTTACTCCTGGCTCTTTCATCCAGTGTGGAGCGACGTCCTGATCCAGGGAGGGTCCGTGTTGTACCAAATACCTTCCACTTCTTAATAATAGACTTCACTATGCTTCTAGGCATTGGTAAAGCCCTGGAAATGTTTTGGTATCCATCTCCTGACTTGTGCCTGTCCACAACTTTATCCCGGAGATCTTTTGACAGTGCCTTGCCACCCATAGTTGATTGCTTCAGTTGCACTACCAGGGGCTGGAATGTCCAGGAAAGCTCTTCTCATGCTGAGCTCATCAAAATGAGCCCCACAGCGGATCACAGGTGAATGTCAAATGGCTTTGTGTGCCATTGAGAAGGTGATTAGCTACACCTGAGGAGGGGTGACCCTTTTTCCAACTCAGTGATCAGGTTTTTGATTTTTTTTCTAGCATGTTGGTGTTATTATGTTTCACTTGGATGTAATAAGTTGCACTGAGTAAATACAGCTGGTTAAAACAAAAACTGTGCCTGTCTTCATTGCAGGCTGCAAAGGAACGAAAATTGATTATTTTAGAGGGGGGGAGGTGGATTATTTTCCATACTGAAAGTACATGCTGCTGGATCACCTCACCTGCCATACACAGATGTCCATCGCCATCACCTCATATACTACACACGGGGGTCCATCGCCATCACCTCATATACTACACACGGGGGTCCATCGCCATCACCTCACATACCGTACACTGGGGTCCCTCGCCATCACCTACCACCCACGGGGGTCCATCACTATCACCTCACCTACCATACACGGGGGTCCATCGCAATTACCTCACATACCACACACGGGGGTCTATGTAGACGTCTATCCTCATCCCCTCACACATTATACGCAGGGGTTCATCCTCATCCCCTCACACACCTGAACGCGCTCCATGTCTCCCTCACCGCCCCTACCGATTAGGATCGGGTCTCCCACGTGGGCGTTGCATTTTCGGCGCCGTGACGCGCATCACCCAGACAGCCAATTGGCAGCTAGATATTGGGAGTGACTGAAAGCACTACCGTCTGATTGGCAGGTGATTTCAGTGCAAAGCTGAGACCGGTTCGGGAGCGTGGTCTTTCTTAAATATTCTATGAAGGGGCGGGCAGCGCTGCGTTATGTGGTCATGGTGGGTGTGATTGTGGGAGGGGCTATGGAGTCCGGGAGTTACAGGCGCTCACTGGGGGTGACCGGATCTGTATGAAGCAGAGGAGCCGGGAGAGCAGATACCCCGGGACTCACAGCGGCTCATCACTGCTGGAGGAGGCAGATCGAGACCGGTCCGCTTTGTGAGCTGCGCAGATAGGCCGAGCGGAGAACTGACATGACGTCCCGCAGGTAGGAGAGAGCCAACAGAGACTAAGAACCGGAGTATAGACTGACATCCCGTGTACGGCACTCATCACTGTGCTGTCCATTCATTACCAACACGGGGACACTCACCTATGTCACCCACCTCTCATTCCTGCTAAATTCTGCACCACCTTCACTCCGTACCCCATACTTCCAATCTCGAGCCATGTCACCCCCTCTTACACTTTTATTCCAGGTACCCTCCCCCCCTTTCATCACTTCTCTTTCCCCGTATCTCCCCCTCTGTCACTTCTTCTGCTCCTGGCTGTCTCCGCCCCCCATCTCTTCTGTTCTTTGGTGTCACCCCACTCTGTAATTTTTGCCTCTCTGTCACCCCCTGTGTTCTCTCTGGTCCCCCAAGTCCTCACTCTGTCTCCTTTGTTCTTGTTTCTCGCCATCTGGGCTGTCACAACTTTAATAAAACTGGAGAACAGAAAATAAACACAATATTGACTTGTTCTCCTCACCGACCAATCAGGTTCATCTTTAATTTTATGGCCAAACGAGGTAAGAAATCTGATTGGCCGATAATTGCACATTCCTCGTTTTCTGCCTCCGTGTCTCTCGTGTTGTCAAAACATTTTCCTGGTTTATTCTGCACATTGTTGTCTCTTTATTTTTCTGGCTTTGGTATTTCCTCCTCTCGCAGCATCTCCTCTTCAGCACCCTGTTGTCGGCCCTCCTTTCCTCTGCTGATCCATCTTTTATCCTGCCTTGGATTACGTTTCCTACTCTCGCAGCATCTCCTCTTCAGCCCTCTGCGCCCTGTTGTCGGCTCTCCCTTTCCTCTGCTGTTCCATCTTTTATCCTGCCCTGGACTACGTTTCCTCCTCTTCAGCCCTCTGCGCCCCGTTGTTGGCCCCCTTTCCTCTGCTGATCCATCTTTTATCCTGCCCTGGACTACGTTTCCTCCTCTTCAGCCCTCTGCGCCCCGTTGTTGGCCCCCTTTCCTCTGCTGATCCATCTTTTATCCTGCCTTGGATTACGTTTCCTACTCTCGCAGCATCTCCTCTTAAGCCCTCTGCGCCCTGTTGTCGGCCCTCCTTTCCTCTCCTGATCCATCTTTTATCCTGCCTTGGATTACGTTTCCTACTCTCGCAGCATCTCCTCTTAAGCCCTCTGCGCCCTGTTGTCGGCCCTCCTTTCCTCTCCTGATCCATCTTTTATCCTGCCTTGGATTACGTTTCCTACTCTCGCAGCATCTCCTCTTAAGCCCTCTGCGCCCTGTTGTCGGCCCTCCTTTCCTCTGCTGATCCATCTTTTATCCTGCCCTGGACTATGTTTCCTTCTCTTCAGCCCTCTGCGTCCCGTTGTTGGCCCCCTTTCCTCTGCTGATCCATCTTTTATCCTGCCTTGGATTACCTTTCCTCCTCTTCAGCCCTCTGCGCCCTGTTGTATGCCCCCTTTCCTCTGCTGATCCATCTTTTATCCTGCCTTGGATTACCTTTCCTCCTCTCTTCCTGGATGGTGCCGCTTGCTTGTGAACTTCTGTGGAACTCCAGGTAGAAATATTTATGTTTACTTACATTGGTCCAGCTTGGCCCGGTGTTAGTCTCACCACACACACACGTTACAAAGGCCTCTAGATCTAGCAACATGTCTGTAGTCCAAGGGCCGGCCTGATTGGATACAAATTGATCGGAGAGCTTCAGTAGGGTGTACACTGTTATATTTTTGAACTTTATATACTTTTGAACAAAAAACACATTCCTCCTTTCACAATGGACGAAACTCCCGATGTGAGCTTTGTATACTGACGGGGACGCTGGCGGCTGTCAGAATACCCCAAGGTTGCCTGAAGCTGATTGGCTGCAAGTACCATGCCGGCTACGTATTTACAACGTGTTCCTTCAGGAAGAGCATTCCTGCTGAATTGTGGCCGAGTGTACGGGGGAAATAGAAGTGACAGAGGGGGGGGATATGTGAAATAGAAGTGATGGAGGGGGGAGACACAGAGAGAGAAGTGATAGAGGGGGAGAAGCAGAGAAATCAAAGTGATGGAGACACAGAGAAAGAGAAGTGATGGAGAGGGAGACTCAGAGAAAGGGAAGTGATGGAGGGGGAGACACAGGGAAATAGAAGTGATGGAGAAAGAGACACAGAGAAAGAGAAGTGATGGAGGGTGCGACGCAGAGAAAGAGAAGTGACGGAGAGGGAGAGACAGAGAAAGAGAAGTGACGCAGGGGGAGACACAGAGAAAGAGAAGTGATGGAGAGGGAGACACAGGGAAATAGAAGTGATGGAGAGGGAGACACAGGGAAATAGAAGTGATGGAGAGGGAGACACAGGGAAATAGAAGTGATGGAGAGGGAGACACAGAGAAAGAGAAGTGACGGAGAGGGAGACACAGAGAAAGAGAAGTGATGGAGAGGGAGACACAGAGAAAGAAAAGTGACGCAGGGGGAGACACAGAAAGAGAAGTGACAGAGAGGGAGACCCAGAGAAAGAGAAGTGACGCAGGTGGACACCCAGAGAAAGAGAAGTGACGCAGGGGGAGACCCAGAGAAAGAGGAGTGACGCAGGGGGAGACACAGAGAAAGAGAAGTGAGGCAGGGGGAGACACAGAGAAAGAGAAGTGACGGAGGGTGCGACACAGAGAAAGAGAAGTGACGGAGGGTGCGACACAGAGAAAGAGAAGTGACGGAGGGGGAGACGGTGGAAAAAGAAGTGACGGAGTGGGAGATACGGGGGGAAATGGAAGTGATGGAGGGGGAGACACGGGTCACTTGCTCGGCACAGTGGCCATTTAGCAAACGCCTAGTATTTATATCAATGAATACTAGACCTTCTCTGATTGGGCGTCACAATCCACCTATCGTCCACCTTTCTGTGCTGAGCGAGTGACCCGCTGTATTATTACTGCACAGAGTAAGCTGCTCAGCCCAGCGCCATTACAGGACCCCAGAGATCACTGTAAAGCACTGTAATGGCTTCGGCTGCTACAGAGTTTTACAGAATCCTTGTGGGCTGACCAGGTATACAATTACATACTTACAATGGGCCAAGGTGGACCAATGGAATTCTACATAAATATTGATACCCGGAGTTCTACTTTAAATAAAACGTTTTACCTACAGATGCTCTGATGGGAGCGGTGAGTTAGCAGACAGTGTTTTTAGCTGCTTGTGTGGGCACATTTGTGGTCTTTAGTTGTCAGTCATATTTCAGACTTCGTTCTGGTACTACAGACAGCCTTGGGGGATGCCGGGGGAAGCCTCTGATGCAAGATAGAACTGAAATAAAAATCTTTACAATCTTCCTCTGTAATTGTCTGCGTATTCTGGATTACATTGCTTCATCAATATCTATTTTTTATATGCTCAAGTGAAAGCATAAGTGTACACTTAACATAATACTTTGTAGAGATCTTAAAGGGGATGTAAAGTCCCAGCATACACTATCCTGTTATTCGATCAGCATTGTAATAGGAATACTTACTAGAGTTGTTTTTGATAATGCAATCGAAGCTAACTTGAAGAAATCCCTTTTACGTAGTGAGTGCTGCCTTCCATCACTTTCAACAACTTCCTGGATTCCCAGTGTGCTTTGCTTCTCTTTCCCTGCTGCTTGGGGTGAGGCAATATTGATTTCTCCTTACTACATACCCCACCATGCACTGCTTCCAGCAAGCAGTGATAATGTTACATTGTTCAGATTCTGAGTTGTAGTTCAGAAGGCAGGCTCTGTGAGAGTGGTGATTATTCACAGAGCTGAGTGAAATTGTGTAAGTGCATTGCGGAAGTACATCCTATGTAAGTAAGTTCACAAACATTTAAAAGGATATGTTTATTAGGAGTGGGATAGAACCTATGGAGATTCAATATAGAAATTCAATTATATTTTAGTTTTTGACCATAGGTACCCTTTAAAGAGGACTTCCTGTTCTGTAGGGTAGGCTTCATAAAGAGAGCCTGTCACCTCCGAATAATATCACATAAGGGATTGTTATCCCCTGTGTGATGTCAATAAAGTTCATTTTTTTAAAAGGCATCTTTTAGGCATGTTTACAAATAAATACTTATAGATAATTTCAAGCTGTTTACTCTTTGCATACCATATTTTTCTTTTCCTCCCCATTGTTCTCACTGTGGCCATTTTCACTAAGCAGATTAATCCATCTCCCTTTACTTCCTGGAGTTCTGGATCTTTCACATCAAACATGTGGCATTGCACATCATCTCAGGGGGAAGAAAATGCCTTTTCCCCAATATTGTGAGATTTTGCAGTTTACAGATGAGCCCAGTAAGGCACTGGTGATGCAGCCTTCCCAGGATGCATAAGTGAGGCCAGGGCTACATTACCAGTGCCTGACTCAACCAAAAAGTAGAAAAACAGTAATTGTAAGTAAAAGCAAAAAATGTTTAACTAATGAAAGTGAGATGATGTTGCAGAGTTACATGCTGGAGTGATTTTTAGTGAAAGGGGGTAAAGGTCCATTTTAACAGCAATGGCCTAAAGGCCTTCCAGCTGTGGTGAAACTACAAATCCTTATCATGCATCTGCCTATGGAAGTCATGCCTGTGGCTTTTAAAGTCTTGCAGGGCTGACAGATCCGAGGCGCCAGATTGCCGTATATATAAATTGTGTCCTGGCGCCTGGGCTCTTGACAGCCCATTCACCAGAGGGGGGGGGGGGTTCTACATTACAGGGCTAAATGTAGAGCATGGGAGCCAGCACTTGTTTTTGTACAGGTGATGTGCCCAGATTACTTGCATAGCAGCCTGCTCGTCCGTCCCCCTCCTCCAAAGTCCGTCCCCCCAGCCGTCCCCTCCCCGCCATGGTTTTAGGGCTCCCTTACTTTTCTGGGGAACCCGGGACCACGGCAATAACTTCAGGATGGAGAGCGGGAAGGAGAGCGGAGAACGTCTGTTCTCTGATCTGCTCTGTGATCAGTGACACAGGAACGTTCTATTTACAGCACTTCCTGTGTCAGCTGTCACATGTGGAGCTGTGCAGAAGATCCACCACAATGCTAGGTTGGACTT